GCTATCTGATACAAAATAAGATATATACAAATTAACCTTGAAGTAGATTCTCTTCCCAACATCAAGGGAGTTGTTTCCCCAAACAGAAACCTATAACCTCTATTATCACTAAAGAATTAGTGCCTATCTGTCTTATTTAAATGAAGACTTTTAACAGATTTGGACTGTTGTAACAAGAACACCTAATTCCTCTGAAGAATTCACCATTTTTAAATAGCACAGTAATTTTGTTAAAATCCTTTTCCCATTCCCTTGTTACATCCATCATCCCAATTTTCAGCCTTTACAGGACTTACTGGTAAAAACTCACCAACATTTAGTAGTTAGGATCTGCTCTAAATTATAGTCCACCAAGTCCCACATTCTTTACCTAAGTCCATCTATGAGAGGCTGCTATAACCACACAAATTCTCTTGAGATCTTAAAGGGGTGCTAAGGTCAAATATATAACCAGCTCAATTCAAGACAACAGCAAGTCAATTTCAGTTACTGGTTACCCATTTATAATGCAATGGATGACTAAGATCAGTGATAAACCAAAGGTACAAAGAATCAAGATACAGAAGATACAGAGAAGGCAAGTACATTGCCTGTAAAGAATGATAAAACAAAAATTAACCCATGTTCTCAAAGCTATCGCAACCCACACCACCTCTCTTCCACCACTCAGTAAGCCACCTGATACACTCATTAGAATGCTAACAATCTTGGGTGATGTTCATGCTAGACCATGATTAAAATGCTGACTGGTGTAACTATCAAATGTGTGCCCTTGTCTTTCTACAGGAGGTAAAAGTAAAAACTCAAAAGCTTATGAAATAAACTGTTAACTCTCACCATCTTAATGTTAGGGTAGCTAAGATAACTTGGAATATGTAAAAACAATCCCAGTCAACACCAATAACAATTGATTAATTCTAATACAAAGGACCTTCAGGCCTCTTTGAAATATTTATCATGCTATAATCATTTTACTCATGAACTTCTCAGACTATGCTAAACCACAATAGCTTAAACGTGACTGGTAATGAATGATGTTACGTTCTCAACTTTGTTAAAAGTAGTTTAAAAATAATCACATTTAATGAATAATTTAGGGTAATTTACAGTTATCACACTGACCAAATAAATTTTCTTCACTGAGATTGTGCATTTCGACAGTATCAAGTTGAACTAACCCCAAACCTAATAAACTCATACATATCAGGATCAACAAAGATACTGTAAGTAGATGGTGGGTTTAGTCCTTGTTGTTTACAAAATTCCTAATACCTTAAAACCCTAAACAAACAAAGCAGTCCCCAAAATAAACCCAAGCAATAAAATAAAAGCACATAAACTGAATTTCTAATATACAGGATGCAAAAGCCTAAAACTGGATCTTAATGTAGTTGAGACTATCTCAGTGTAAACTGGCACCTGAACAGATGTTCCACCTACAGTGCATTAGAACTCAGGCACCACAAAGTACAATGAAAAACTAACCATCACAACGGAAAATAATAATATAGTTTAAGTTTTACAACCTTATAATATACACTGAAGTTTAAGAAAGGAATAAAAAGACACAGAACCCCAGGAAGAGAAATGAACTCACCTCGTAGTAGATACCTAGTAAACCAAAAGGGATCAAAATTTGATTCAGGACCAGTCCCTGAAAACTTCATTACCTGAAAATGTAGTTGGTAGTTTCAAGTGGATCAAGCAAGAATTGAAATCAAAGCTACATAACAGTTCATTAATAAAACAGGATGGTTCTATAATCATCTAGCCAACTACTTGTGAATGTTGTTGGCCAAATTCTAGAAAGATACTGAGCTAATATTTTAATTTATCTGCTGCCGTTTGCCTAAATCTTTTTACCAACCACCCCAAACTCAAACACCCTTCTGAAAACCTACTAAAACCTAGCAATTTCAAAGAAAAGGTTACAGGAAAGACATTTTAAAACATGCAAAGCCTATTAACAAATGCTGACTAAATGCTGAATATTCTCAGCAGTGAAGACATGTCTCAGAAAACCAGGAACAGAATTCAAGCAGGGGTCAATAAATGGCAGCCCAGTACCAGTACAAATATAGGTAAAAGAGGCGTAACCAGAGTTGGTTAAATATCTAACAATCTTGATCCTCAGTATTGCCAGACAACTGATTCCTCCATACTCAAGAAATTTAATCTCAGAACCAGGTGAGAGAGCATTGTTTGGACTGAATAAGCAGTGATGAAATGGGGATCCCTTAGCCTTCCCCCTGTAACCCGAGGATCAGAATACCAGCAGACCAAGTTTTTATGGCTTCAGACAGGATAGAAGACTTCTCTGTTGAGCCTGAGTAGCTAGAGAAAACAAAGGATATTTCTAGGGGTTCTTCAATAATCACTATAAATGCAGATCACTCAGTGAGCAATAAACCTTGCTGAGTTCACAAGCTCTCCTCCAACCAGACAAATGTTCAAAACATCCAATTAGTTTAAGTGCTCCACTTCTGTGAGCCCCAAATCACCAAATATCTGAGGAAAATCCCTAACATATAAACTAGAAGAAGCCAAAGCAACAGGAAAAACAAAGCATCTTGGAGTAAACTCTGAAATATTAAGTATCACTGATAAACTGACAGATGGGAAGGGTATAAGAAATGACTGACATTTTTAAAGGTTGAAAGATTAAATCATACAAGTCGCTCATGAGAGAGTGAAATGGAAGGGAGAAAGATGCTTAGTAACAAGAATTACAGGGACAAAAGACTGGGGTGGTTAATCAATTCGTTAACATGCCAGAACCGAAGAGCAAGTTTACAGAACATAAGATCCAATAGTGCCCACGATGGATAAATAAACTCAAGAGAGTCATGAAATTTAAGAACACTAGTGATTTAAAAAAAAAAAAAAAAAAATCCATAGTGATTAGTAAAAATATTTAACATGTAAGCTCAAGACTCAAAAGTAATATCAAACCTTTGATTTGTCTATCCTGTCATACGAGTTATCTCGTTAGGGTATATAAACAGGAAGGTTTCAAAGCTATCTGAATTTGTGTTGCACCAAAACAAGCACTTAATCTAGGAAAAAAATCTAAAGTGAAAGGCAAAGGGAACACGAGAATGACAGCAAAGCCCCAAATAGTTACTAAACAATTAGAGGGCAACCAGTCCAGACCACAATATGGAAAACCATCAAGCAAAACATGAAAATGCTAATTACCAAATGGATTTGTACCAAGAAAAATCTTTTGATGGTTAATTTGAGAGAGCGTAAGTGCCTGGTGAACAGAAAAATGCTTATTAAAGTCAAGATACACCTAATTGGATCTTAAAAGAGGACTGAAGTAAACAAAACAGTATAAATACCAAATTGAGTTATTTTCCCACAATCCTATGTGCAAGTGCAACTTTTATAGCCAGGAGAATAACCTCTAAAATTTAAACATGAAAGTATCAGGGTCAAACAAATCTGAGTATAGGTGTTAAGTTTTTCTCATTTTCTACTGATTAATTGTGCCAAAATATGGGACTTATAAATATTTTAAACAAGAAACAAAATTAATATAGTAGAATTTCATCACCTATACTAAACTTATTTTAAATCCAATCTGAAATCTGCTACGGTTCTTTAGGGGAGCAGAACTGGGGATTGAACCCAAGTCCTCACAAAGTGCTAGGCAATCAGTCTACCACTTAGCTGCATCCCCAGCCCGATCTTTTTAGAAGATTTTGATTACATAAAATAAGCATACTGCTTCTAGAAAATAAAATAGTGGCCTAACAACTCCAACACAAATTCTTTCCAGAGGTCAACAATTTTTTTCTGTAAAAGGCCAGAAAACAAGTATTTTAGGCTTCCCAGGTTTGTTAAAAAAAACTACTCAACTCTGCCATGTAACACAAAAGCAGTCATACACAAATGTGTAAACAAATGAGCACAGCTCTGCTATAAATTTTTCAAAATAGGTTTTAGGTAGGTCCCCAGTTTATTCATCATGAAATATAACTTAATGATACTTATTTTTGCTCATCAATATGTGCTGAATAATTATACTTCATACACAAAAAGGTTGTTCAACCACATCACTCCAGTACCAATAGGACACCATTTTCAATTATTCTCAAGTCTGTTTTGAATAAGCTGACTCAGTCTTAAATGATCACTCAGGAATGAATGTGTACTAATACTCACTATAGTAAGTAACCACAAAAAACTTTACATCCAAGCTGATGGGTATCAATTCCCTGAATGCTAATAACACACCAAGAACCTTACAACCCAGTCTTACCAATGTGTACAATTTTACAAATAAAACACTACAGGAAAAACTTACTGTGACTTAATCCTAGTTAATTAGATTTCCTGTTAAAACCCAAGAGTGACTTAAAATTCCAGGTACACCTTCAAATCCTAAAATGGGGTCGTCTTAAGGTTCTAACTGCCCCCCAAAACCCTAATAGGAAAAGTCACTCAAGCAAATGAATGCACACTCATAAAACACTGTATATATCCCATTAATCCCCCGTACTTAAATATCTATAAAGTGTTAAGTACACTACATCTTTAAAAAAACACCTCTCTGAACTAGCTGTGTCTCTATTATAATGAACAGATTAAGTCCTTATTTCTTATTTAATAAAAAAACATGAAACATTAAGTATATCTGTGCAAAGGGGTCTGTCATTCTATGCAGTTGTTCTACAAAGCACAATACATATTAATAAGCAAAAACAAAAACCCCAAAACACAAAAACCTGGACATTTGAGAAGGTAATGGCAACAGAAGGAAGGACTATTAAAACAACCTATAAAGTGACTACATTAAGTAATTTCCAGTTTGGATAAGGACATGCTGTGGCAAAAATGAGATTTTGCCAAACATCTAAAATTTCATTGCAAATTTAACC